CCAACCCCACCCGGCGGCAGTGTCGCCGCACCGCTTTGTGACGGGAATGCCGAGACCGTAATCCGCGGCCCTTTCGATTAGGTCGTTACTGTCGAGTCGATCTATCGACTCGCTGTGTCGCGACGGCCGTCGAACCGAACCTCGGGTACTGCGGCGTCGCGTGGCCGCGGGGCGGGGCGGGGTTAGGACGAGGAGGGGGTGCGCGGGTCCCTCCGCGGTGGCCTTTGGCTGCCCCCACGTCCAGTGGCCCCCAGCGGCTCGGGTCCTTCACCCAAGGGCAGCGCTGATCCTCTCATCATCACGCTCAGCAGGCTCGTACCTCTTATGAGTATTTGCTCGCACACGCACCCACAGTCTCACCCAAAGTAAGTAACGCCATCTCAACCCCACAACGTCACCTCACGTTTTCTTAGCTGGGTTGCAAGCAAGCCATTAACGAATACCCTTTTTGAAGTTGAAGTTGAAGGAGGTGACATGCGGACTAACGATTTACATCCATCAGATTATTTGCTAGCTAGAAAATTAAAATTTTCCGCAGATCTAACTCAGAACCTACCGAAAATTTCTGTTCATCTGGCCAACAGTCGTCGGTCGTCGCTAGCCTTATTCCTCGACTTCTCGTATCATCTGCTGTCAAGTCAGGATCGACTCTTGATTGCGATTCTCTTTCTTCCTTTCCGGTGTACCGGATTTAGTGGCATGGCCTCGTGTGTCGCCGCTCCCGGCCCACTCCACGCGACGCACTACACAGATGTTAACCGCCTTTCTCCGCCCTGCAGAGAGGCTCCACGGCGCGTTTGGCGGGCAGTAAACCCATTTGCACTCGCGGCCCCGCCGCCCCCGCCACCCCGGCCCGCGATGAGCGCTGGGAAAGTGATTAATACCTCGCGTCAGCATGTCAGTCAGTGGGTCGGGCGGGGCCGGGCCGGGCGGGGCCGCTGCGGAGAGAACACTACTCGCCCGTAATAATTGCCTCAGCTGCCATAACCATACCCCTGGACCCCCCTGTTAGGGACGCTGCTCCCTGGCGTCCCCGCGTGGAGCCTCGCGGTCTCGGTGACGACCTGTGCCGTGGCGGCCGCCCCCCACGGGCACTTTGTTACCTGTAATTGATTGAGTTGAAAGCGAGGCCCGTAACAGACGAGTTTGGCGTGGTGTGGGGTGGTGTGGGTGCGGCTGGCTGCGCGGCTGGCTCGTCCCGAGGCGCGGCACTACTCGCCCTGCTGGACTGGACATGGTGGTGGTGTGGTGTGGTCCTGGTCCCCCCTCGCGCTGAAAGTGAAGAAAGATACTAAGGGAAGGGAATGGGGCTTAGCCGCCCAGCTGTCTCGCCCCGCCCCGGCCCGCACCGCCACGTCGTGACGCCAGCATTCATCAGCTGCCACCAGTTGCCTCAGAGCGTGGGAACGCGTAGTACACGAGCGTGCCGTGCGGGCCTGCTAATTAGTAGGACGGCACGGGACCTAGTGGTGGCTGCCGCCCCGCCCCACCTCTACTCTAGGAGGGGCTGCAAATGAAGCCCCGCCTTCTTCGCCTTCCTACTCTTAACCGCTTCGCTCACAACTCGATGTAGCTGCTGGATTCCATCTCTCTCTCTCTCACCACAAGTATCAACAGCCTGTCTGTATATCATTCGGTCGGTCTCACTCATGGCTCGACTCGGCGGGGGCCGCTGCCGAGCTACGAACATGAGGTGATCCGAACGGAGCAGCCCCGCCCCGCCTCACCCTGCCGCGC